ATGCCCACAGAGGTCAGAAGAGGGTGTCAGATCCCCTGGAAATGGGGTTATGGATGGTTGTTAGCTGCAAAGTAGGTTCTGGGAACTGAACCCTAGGACCTTTGCAAGAGCAGCCAGTGCTCTTAACCACTGAGCCATCTAGCCCCATCCAGCTTTTTGATGTGGGTTCTAGGGATCTAATTCAGGTCTTTATGCTTGCTTGGCAAGCCCACTGAGCTATCTCCCCAGGCCCCTTTGTTCTTTACTCCACGGAGGAATTGCCTGTGCTGACTCTATCCCAAGCCCCCTGGAGGAGGGGGGAGGTGGTGGCAGGACCTCTGGAGTAGCTGTCTAGCCAAGTCCAGGCTCCAGGTCTGACAGACTGGAGCCCAGAGGTGGACAGTGGACAGACAGTGGACTTGGGACTGGAGCTGAAGGGTCCAGCCCGCAGTGCCTGTGCCTGTTAACCCTCAGCCCCCCCCATCTCTCCCTGGGCTCTATGCCCAACACTGAGCTCATGCCCCTCTGTCTCGCCAGGCTTCTTCTGGCTCTGTGCTAACTGGCTGCCTAGAGCCCTGCAGGTGACACCTGCCAGGGCTTCCAAATGCTTTCTGTGACTTACTGTAAATTAAAGGCCATCTCAGGAATAAATGAGCTCAAGATCTGAAGACAAGACTATGGGCTCCACAGGGCCAGGGCTAGGGTGTACACTTTCCTGGACAGCCAAGTGTTACAACAATTACATGAAGTAATGAGTTAGAAAACACAGAGTCAAATACTATATAAATTAAATTTTTTTTTAATTTATATTTTTATTTTATGTTGTGTGTACTGAGTGTACTGCCTGCATGTATGTAAGTTCACCCATGTTGTGCAATGCCTGTGGAGGTCAGTAGAGGGCATCGGATCCCCCAGAACTGGAGCTACTGTTGTTAGCTGCCATGTGGGTGCTGGGAATTAAACTTGGGGTCCTCTGCAAGAGCAGCCAGTGCTCTTAACCACTGACCCATCTCTCTAGCCCATGATTTTTAAAAACTAGCTGCATGGTAACTCATCCAAGAAATATTCTGCAAGTTTCCTGAGTTTTGATACTCATATCTAATGCTAACATAAACATCTTTTGCAAATATAGTTCATTGGTGTGAAAAAGAGAAAGAGAGAAAGAGAGAGAGACAGAGAAACAGACAGAGAGCATAGGGACTCTGGAACAGAATAGAGCTGGTATGTGAAAGAGAAATAACAAGCCAGATGTGGTAGCTTACACTTGTAATTCCAGCACTTGGGAAACTGAGGCAGGAGGATTTCCTCCAGTTTCAGGCCAGAGTGGTCTACTAAAAGTTTTACACCAGCTTGTTTTCAAAAACTTAATTTAATTAAAATTTAAAAATAGGGGCTGGAGAGATGGCTCAGCGGTTAAGAGCACTGACTGCTCTTGCAGAGTGTATTAGTCACTTTTCTGTTCCTGTGATAGAAACACTGACCCAAGCAATTTATAGAAGGAAGGGTTTTATTTGACTTACGGTTCCAGGGGAATTACAGTCCATCATGCCAGGCATGATGGCTGGAGGTAACTGGAGCAGGAGCAGCAGAAGTGAAACTCTCACATCATCATGCAGGCACAGGAAGCAAGAGAGTGACTGGAGATCTGGCAAGGCTTAAGAACTCTCTAAGCCCACTCCCAGTGACATGCTTCCTCCAGGATAGCCACACTTTCTAAAACCTCCCAAAACAGCACCATCATCTGGGGACAAAATGTCCAAACACTTGGAGCCTATGGGGGACATGTTCATTCAAACCACCACAGACCTGGGTTCGATTTCCCAGCACCCACATGGTGGCTACAAACCGTCCTTAACTCCAGTTCCAGGGGAATCTGAAGCCCTCTTCTGACATTCGCAGCATTGCATGACATGGGTGCACTCACATACATGCAGCCAATACACTCATACACATAAAATAAAAATAAATAAATAAATAAAATATTATTTAAAATTGTTTATAAAATTTAAAAATAAAAAGGGGAACTAGAGGAATAGCTCAGTGGTTAAAAACACTGGCTGCTCTTGCAAAGGACCATGGTTCGGTTCTCAGTACCCACATCCAGGTCACAACCATCTGTGACTCCAGTTCCAGGGGATCTGATGCCCTTTTCTGGTCTCTGTGGGCATTGCACACATGTGGTATACATACTTACACTCATACACATAAAAATAAGTCTTAAAAAAATTTTAGGGTCAGGAGCAATAGTTCAGCCTTCAAGAACACTGACTGCTCTTGCAGAGCACCTGGGTTTGAGTCCCAGCATCCACACAGCAGCTGACAACCATCTGTGGCTCTAGTTCCAGGGGATCTAATGCCTTCTTCTCACCTCCCTGGGCATTGTATGACAGGGGTACACTTATATACATTCAGGCAATATACTCATACACAGAAAATAAAAATGATAAACAAAATATTTAAAAATCATTTTTGCAGCAGGGTGTGGTGGTGCATGCTTTTTAACCTCAGCATTCAGAAGGCAGAGGCAGGTGAATCTCTGTGAGTTCAGGACAGTCTTATTATATAATAGCTAGTTCCAGGCCAGCTGGGACTACAGGGAAACCCCATCTCAAATGAAAAAACAAAAGAAAACAAAATTTTAAGGAGGAGGAAAAGGAGAAAAAAAGGAAGGAAGGAAGAAGAGAGGGAGAAAGAGAGGGAAGGAGAGAGAGGGAGAGAGAGAGGGAGGGGGAGAGAGGGAGGGAGGGGGATGGAAGGTGGGCAAGCACACTGTAGGAGACATTAGTGGGCAGATGGCTCTTCTAGGCAGGGCAGGCAGGAGAGCTTCTCTGAAGAACTGTTTTGTCTTTTTCATGGTGATGCATAGAAGACGGAGGACACAGTCTCAGTGAGAACAGGGAAAACACTTTCCAGGCAGATTCCTGAGGCAGAAAATGGCTTGGCAGGTGTCAGTATGCCAGAAGGCACAGGAAGTGGAAGCTTGGTGGGTGTGAGGGCAATGGTGGCATGACTGGTGAGAAAGGCCAGCAGGGCCAGCTCACCAGGGTCTGTGGACCACAGGAGGAGCTTGGCTTCTGTTTCCCAGTGCAGCCTTTAGCCACTTAGGTTGATTTATAAATTGTATTGGAGCATAACAAACATGAAGGAATCATAAGTGTGCAATGTCATGGAATGTATTGGGAGATCAGCACCATGTGAACCTTCGGGACACATAAACAACATCCAAACTTTAAACACCCTCCTCAAGTCCCTTTGAGTCACTCCATGGGAACCGCCATCTTGGCCTCTAACATCATAGAATAGTTTTGCCTGTTTGTGATTCTATAAATGGAAAGATACAGCCACGTGTTCTTTCATTCAACCTTATGTTTTGCCATCCCTGGGCTTTCATCAGTGGTTGTGGTTTAGGTTCTCTGCAGCACAGTCCTTCGCGATCCCATACATGAACATGCAAGTGCTTGCTGGGCTTTTGTGGTCTCCAGTTCAGAGCTTCTGTCAACATTTCCGGTGTTATCTTGGTGCATATGTGGATGTGTTTGTGGTTACTGAAGGGTTTGAAACGTGAAATTGACAAGATTCATGTCAAGGTCGTTCTGGGTCATGCAGCAAGCCCCCCATCCCCCACCCCCTTGGGTAAGTTATACCAGAAGTGAACCAGCTTCAATTTTGTCCTTGTTTCCTCTTACAGAAGCTCTTCTGAGATGCACTTTTACACAGAGGGTGTGCCTGATGCCCCTCTCCCTCTCAAAGGGGTAACCTTGTCATCCTCAGGCCTCAGAGCTCTCATAGAAAAGGAGCTCAGTCTTACCAAAGTTGCAATCAACCATGAAGTTTAAGTTGAATGGGAAATTGCACCAAAAGCCCACGGCTTCATACCCAGCCTCAAGATATAACTAATGTCCTTTTTCTCTTTTCTATTCCAAGTCCAGGAAATGCAGTGGGAATCATGGCATCCCCTATAGGTGAGGGTGAAGTTGCAGCCGCCCTTTGGTCAGCTCTCCAGGGTCCTGTCTTCTGAACCGAGGATGTCTGTTGGTTCTCCACAAATGCACAGTCCTAGCCTCAGCTGGGAGGGGAGTCCCCACGACCCAGCAAGCACCATGGCCTCTCACACTGGCCCTTTTCTGGGATTCTCACCCTCTTCCGCAACCGACCCCAGATCCTCCCTGAGGCCTAGACTCCCGCCCCCCTGCCCTTTCTAAAGTGTGCCCTGTCTCCCTGTCAGACTGCCCCGGCAGCGAGGGACCTGTACCCTGTTCCGGGAAGATGGTAGCTCGCCCACGCCTGGCACTGTGCCGAGAGCCTGGGTAAGAGCGTCATAAATATCTCCTGAATGATTCATTGATTCCTCTGGGAAAGGAAAGCGACCCTTTAAAAGGTTATAGCGAGTTCCAGGACAGCTGGGGCTACAGGGAGACCCTATCTCAAAAAAGACAAAAAAATAAAAAATAAATAAAAGAAAGAAAGAAAGAAAGAAAGAAAGAAAGAAAGAAAGAAAACAGAAAGGCTTTGCAGTCACACAGACCTGGGTTCAAATTCTGGCTCTGACCTTAAGCCTGTTTCCTTATGTAAAATTTAAAAAAAAAAAATGGATGGAGTGGCCATGGATGAGGTCATTGAGGGGATTACTTGAGATGATGCCGCAAGCGACCAGTGCTGGTATAAACCAGAGTCACAGGTCAGACATAGAAGGGGGTGATTATCCATTTGTAGGAGGGGACACTGCCCGCTGTGTTGCCTGCTGGGCTGCTTTTCTGTGGTTCCCTTGAATCCATTTTACAGATAAAGAAACTGAGGCGGGGGGGCGGGGGGGGGGGGCGCAAAGGGAGGCAGGGCAAGAACCAGGCCTGCTGGCAGCGTGCTGTGCAACCGCCTCTCCCGGGCCCTGGTGAGCATACGGCTCTCCACCCCACGCGTGTCCGGGCCGCGCGCTTGGGGATCTCCGACTCGGATGCAGCAGCGTTGCTCCGCTTCGGGGAGTGCAGAGAGCGCTCGGGGTTGTCACTTTAAATTAAAGAAGAAGCGGGGCGGGCGGGCGGACGCGAGGGAGCGCGCGGCGGGCTCTTGGGAGCTTGCGGGACTGCGGCGCGGCTCCAGTCGGCCGCCCGGCTCTGCGAAGCCCCCGACCCGCGCGGCACTTCCCGGTAGGCCACTGCAGGGGTGCGTGGCTCCGCGTGGGCGCGTGCAAACTGTGGGAGGCCGGCCCCGGGAGCAGCGGACCCGAGTGGAGCCTGCAGTCGGACCCGCGGCCCCTCGGCGGAACCCAGGGTGAGTACGCACCGCGACTCACCCCGAGCGCGGCCGGCACACGCATCTTCCGCGTGGACGCATGCAGTCCCCGAACCCGGGGCCCCCACATACACTCCGCGCGCCTGCACCCCCGCGCAGCGCTTGCACACCCACACCAGGCACCGCGCACCCGGCGCCCTTCCCCGCCCCGGCCACTCCGCGCACTGCGCATCGCCTTGACCGGCCCGCGCGTGTGCACCCCGCTATTTACACGCCTCCCCGAGCCTGCACGGCACACACACCCCTCACTTGCACACTCAGCACCCTGGCTGTCTTCACTGCCTCTGCCCCAGCCTCACGTCCCCTTGGGGTTCCCTGGTCAGTCCCCGCCAACTTCCAGTCCCCAGATACCCTGAGTGGTGTGAGGGTCTGCAGGGAACTGTCAGCATCAAAGCGGCATATCGGATCCCATCTTCAGGAGACCTGGGGCTGCGGGAGGAGCCCAAGGGGGGGACCTTCAGTTTCCTCAAGGCTGTAGACTGGGGTTGAGCAATGGGGACGGCGAGCCTCACCTGAGGGCCAAGGAGCCTTGAGCCTGCCTCCCTGGTGGGCATGGTGCTGCCAAGGGACCATGGCCCTCCCAGTCGGTGAGGCCACATCTGTGGGAAGAGCCTGGTAAACCACACACTGGACTGTCAAGTCCGGTTGCCAGGCTTGGAGAGCATCAGTCCTAGTCTCTATGAGAAAAGGGAAACCAAGGCACTGAAAAGAACGGAGACCCACCCCAGTTAACATAACCTGTCCCAAGAAGGGCCAGGACAATAGTCAGCCACCCCTTGTGTCCCCACTCCCCACTCTGCAATCTGGAACCTTTCCCAAGCATCCCAGAACAGTGAGGGCTTCCATCCTGAGGTCCAAACCTGGACCTGGGTGACTCTGGGTAAGTCACTTCCTGAACTTAGCAGAACAGGAGTCCCAGCCACCTCTTTCCATCCCCAGGGCACCAGGGAGGATCTCCTGAGCTAACACAAGGCAAGTCCCTAGTAAGATGCTGGACACACAGTAGGTGCCCAATGTCAGCTGCCACCCGCCCCCAGCCAGTCTGCACTGTGGCTTCTGCGGGTGTTCGGGGGATGGCGCCAGGATGTGGTTATCTCAGAATGTGTTGTGGGGGAGGGAGGCACTTGCAAAGGTTTTCAAATCTAAAGGTCTGGAAGAAACTCAGCCCAGAAGATTGAAACTCCCTCGTACCACCCCCACCCCATCCTTCTTATTATCTGCTGGTGTCAAGGTGGGGATGAAGGGTGCCAACAACACCTCCCTGGGCATATTGGGACATTGAGCAAGAAGACGGGGTGAAATGGAGCGCAGATAAAAGGCCCCTTAGTCTAGGCTCAGAATTCCTGGAAAGCTATTTCGCTAACAAGTCCAGTACAGCAAGGTGGTAGCTCTTCCCACCTACCTTATACCCAGCTCCAGCTAGGCCTGGTCAGCAATCAGCATGGTGGCCCAGAGCCCAGGCCCAGAGCCATCATTCTTTGGCACAGAGTCCAGAATTGCCATATTAGGGTATGTGTCCCTATCTTTCTCATCTGTGAAATGAGGATCCAGTAATCCATTCAGTCACCAGGTCTGTGGTGGGTACCAACTATGCACCAGGCTTGGTGTTAAGCACTTAGCACATAGTGTGCCCACATGAAGGCAGCAAGGGGGAGGTATGACTAGGAGGGCGCCATTGCACAGGACTGGGAAGCAGGGACTGTTTTCAGTGAGCAAGCTCCATGCAGTGTAGACTGAGGCTAACCATAGGTTAGGTAGGGCGAGGTGTGGGAGGAGGATGCATAGTCTTAGCTTAGATGAGTGCCGGGAGCAGCCCCAGCCGGCCCCTGCTGTGTGTCAGAAATGCCAGCTAGCTCTGGTTACTGGCTGCCCTGGCCTTCAAATGCCACATCAGCATCCTAGCTCTAGCCAAGCCACATCCCCTCTGCCTGACAGACCTCCGGGATGCCAATTGGTGTCACTTGGGGTGAGATGGAGTAAAGGGGTATCAAGGATAGTGACTTAAAGTCACTAAGACGGATGCTTGCTGCAGAGCCAGACCTGGCCCAGTGTCCGCTCCCCATGCAGTGAGTGGTTGAGCAACGTTGGGTCAATTCAGTGCCTTGTCTGGGCCTCTCTATCCTCCTGCACAAAGTGGAGATTATTACAGGATTTGCCGCAGCACATCTTGGGAGTAATGGGAAAGATCACAGGAAGTTCTGGGCAGGGGGCTGAGGCTGCTAAGGGGTGAGGCACTGGACAGGGCCACCACTGCTGGGTTTAGGGAAGTTGCTTAACCTGCCTGAGCCTCTCTGAGCTCATCCCAAATGCAGTTTATCAGGCTTATGTGAATGGTGATCCTTTAGTGGACTGCAGATTCTGAAAATGAATGGAAAGATGAGTGGGGCAGGTGAACCCAGGAGCAAATGCCTTTACATAGTCATTGTGGAATACCTACCATCGTTGGGGGCAGGGAGGGTGCAGTACAGACCCCAGACCCACTGTAATTTATGACTGTCAAGAGAAGCACAACCTCCCCGAGGCTTTTCTTCCCTCCTTTCCTTCATTCTAGTACTGGGGATGGAACCCAGGACCTCACACATACTAGGCAAGCACTCTACCACTGACTTATGTCCCCCATCACCCCTTTTTTCTGAATTCCATATTAAAATAAAAAATTTCTTAATTTAAAAAATATATTTTATAGCCAAGCATAGTGGCACACACCTTTAATCCCAGCACGTGGGAAGCAGAGACAGATGGAGCCCTGTAAATTTGAGATCAACATGGTCTACATAGTGAGTTTCAGGCTAGCCAAGGCTACATAGTGAGACCTTGTCTCAAAAAAAAAACAAAAAGCAACAAAAAAAAAACCCAACCAACCAACCAACCAAATAACAACAAGAACCCACAAACAAATAAACAAACAAAAGAAACCCATTTGGGACCCGGGTGGGGGCGATAGCTCAATAGGTATAGGGCTTGCTGAGCAAACTTGAAGACCCAACATTAATCCCCAGCACCAACATGAAGAGCTGGGCATGTAAAGAGGCAAAGACAAGCAGTTCCTAGGGTGGACTGGCCAGCCAGCCTAGCTAATCTGTGAGCCCCAGGACAGTGAGAGACACTATCTAAAAAAGCAAGATGGACAGCTCTCAGCTCTCTCAGAATGAAACATCTGTACTACACACACACACACACACACACACACACACACACACACACACTCAGAATGAAACATCTGTACTACACATACACACACACACACACACACACACACACACAGAGATTCACTTAAATCTAAACAAAACACATCTGCAGGTTGATGGTACTGCTCACAGGATTCTGCTGCTCAGACTGGGAGCCAGGAGCCTCTTTCTGTACCATGAACAGGCCAGTAACCACAGCAGCTAATATTTGCCAAGCTCTCTCATTCTTCCTTACCCCCACAGGGTAGTTTTGAGCCCTTATTTTATGAGCTTAGCCTGGCTTCAAACTTGTTATGTATCCAAGATTGACCTTGAACCTCTGATCCTCCTGCCTCCACCTTCTGAATGCTAAGACTACAGTTGTGTGCCACTGTGCCCAGTTTTATTCAGTGCTGGGGCTCAGATCCAGGTCTTCTTGTGTGCTAGTTAGCACTCTAATAATTGAGCTACATCCCCAGCTCAGTCAGAAGCCCTTTTTAAATATTTTATTTATTTTTTATTTTATGGGTATGAGTATATTATCTGCATGTGTGCAAGTGCACCCGTGTCGTGCAATGCCCACCAAGGGCAGAAGAGGGTATCAGAGCCCCTGGAACTGGAGTTACAGACAGTTACTAGCCCCCATGTGGGTGCCAAGCATTGAAACCAGGTCCTCTGCAAGAGCAGCCAGTGTTCTTAACCACTGAGACATCTCTCTAGCCCCATAAGCCCTTTTTATAGACGGAACAACTGAAGCTCAGAGAAAGAAACTAAGAAAATTGTCTGAGGCCATGAGTCAGAGAGGGCACAGATCTGGGATTCAGAGCTGACTGTAAACCTGGGGATCAGGCTGTCCCCAACAGGATCCTCCACACCGGCCCATTTCCTCCTCCCTATACCCAGGAAGATGTGCCCTTTGCTGCAGGGTACAGCTGGAAGCTCTTATCTGGGGATGTGCCCAGCAGTCATCCACACCTTCCCAGATTTGACAGTTCCCATGGCAAAATGAGGAGAGGGTTGGAAAGTAGGTGTTTGGGAGTCTAGAGTCTGAGCTGGACTGGCCTTAGATGCCCCACTCCCCTCCTCCAGATGCCAGAGGCCTGATACAGCCTGTGGTTCTGCTGGTACCACACACAGCACACACTGTATCTCTCGGTGTGCCTTGCTTGGCTTTTCCTCTTTCTGTTGCCAGCTTGTGCCAGATGTGCAGGAAAGAACCCTGTAAGCATTATCAGAATCCTAGACAGCTGAGGCAAACTGGAATGTGTGTGTGTTTACACATTGTGTTTAGTATGTCCAGACCCTCTTCTATCAGGAACTAGGCCTGTACAGAGGGCCATTTCAAATCTATCTTAGGCAACTTTTTGAAACCTATGCCCACCTGGGGTAAGATACTGTGGTTAGGAGCTTTGAGCCAGGCAGCCTGGGGTGAACACTTATAAGCTGTGTGGCAAATTAAGCCCATAGCACTCTGGTCTATGAACCAGACATGATCATGGTGCCTACCTCAAGGGCTTGTTAAGAGAGTTAAATGCATATATGTATAGATGCTTAGAACGCACTTAGTGCTTAAGCAGTACCCAGTGAGCTTGGCTATTACCATTGCCTTAAGCCCAAGCTAGGATGGGTGAAGCCTTTCTGTCTTAGCACTGCCTGCCTCCCATCACCATGACAACTCCCATCTCATCATTGTGGGAGCAGCATCAGGAGAGCCAGGAACCAGGAACCAGCTATACACCCTCATCCACCCTGTATCTTAGGGCTTATGGACCCCCCATGTGTGCTGGACTAGCTTTTTTTTTTTAATTTATT